TCCTGACAGAGGCAAGGGCCAGTAAAAAGGCGCTGAAAACAAGAGATAACCAAGGCACTAGAGCAACACTGCAGGCGTCCAAAGGCTTTCAGCCGTCTGGGGATATTGTGGGTCTTGGCACACAGCTACCCCATGCAGCTGTGAGGAAGGGAATGGAAAGCGCAGACCTTGGCACCCTGCTTCCCCCGCCTCTGGTGGCCGTGTTCCTTGGATGAGCCGTCCTGCCCTCGCTCCAGGAGCGCCCTCAAGGCCTCGACGTGTCCAGCCCTGCAGCTGAAGGTACAATTTGTCTATTTTGCAAGCTGTCCATGGCTCGGGGCTGACAAGAGCCTGAGGGTAGCGAACACATCTGCCGCGCTCTCTTTGGATTATTGCATGTGTTCTAGCTGTGTCTTGTTTGTGATAGAGCTTCCTTTTCTGGTAAGCAATTCTTGACGTAAAATCTGAGCCAGACATGCCAGTGCATTGCTGCCAGTGGCAGGAGCGATGCCTAATCCACCAATGCTGGCATGTTTAGTGTCTCCTACCTTGTCAACATGTCAATTTGCAGAGCAGAGAGCATACACCCCATGGAAAAGCATATTTCTAATAGTTTATCACAAATCGTCTTCCACTTGCATGAGCCTAAAAATCACCAGCCTGAAGAAAGATATTTTTCTATAATCCTTTATATCTTTTCCCCCATATCTAGGGCTTAAGCAAACTTGGAGCAGTGCAAAAATTCGGCATCCCAAAGAGAAGACGTAGACATAGACATAGGGTGGTGTGTTACTTTCTGGCGTTGTGAAAAGGCTAGTGGTTATCTGGGATGGCTCAGGGGATTGGTGTGTTTTGGATATGCAGTAATTAATATGTGACAGTTAGCAGACTGTAAATAAGGTTCTATGAATAGCTTTTAAAGTCAAATGTAAAACTGTTTTCCTGCTGTCTCATATTCCCAAAATTCAAGCTAACCGTTGCCATACTCCTCCCATCTCTGAAGTTTTCTGGAAATTCTGTCTGATTTTTCTCTCCATTGAAAGACCATCCAAGTTGCTAAGGATTTAATTCAAGTCCCAGTCCACATATCCGTGCCAGCAGTCTCGGGTGTCACTGGCTGATGTCTTGCTGTGGTACCCTGCCATCCTCTACCCTCCCGGACAAGAGCCTTGGCTTGCTCTTCCTCTTATCTCCCCGGAATTTTGGAGAATTTTCATCATCTCCTCTTACAGTTTATTAGGCCATCCTAAGAGTATTCTCCACCCCTACCTTATCTTCGAATATTCTGGAGCCCGAGCATAAATTTCACTAGCAACTTCATGCAGGCAATTTGCTCCAAACTTATCTCCTTGCATTGCTAAAACCTACCCTAGCAGAGCTCCTGATTTTCCACCCAGTTTTGCCTTCTTTTTCTTTCTTGTTGCTTTCTAATGCTTAAGCTTTTAACTTGTTGTCATCATGTCATCAGTAGCTGACCTTTTATCTTAATCTTCACATCCACAGAGTGTCTAAAACTTGCCAATTTATCCTCTGTAATGTGTCAATTATGTAGCCGTACAACTTACAGCTTATCGCTTTACTGCATTTTTGTTGCCTTGATTACAAAAGTGTTATTTTCTCGGCCTGTAAAATGCAATGAAAAAAAAAAGTCTTTTATCTCTCTTGGCTATGGCCAAGTCACTGTTCTGTTTGTGTTCTCCCAGTGTCT